ACCAGCCACGGACATGTCCAGTCTATCAGTTAAACTCCCCCCGCACACTGCATTCATTTGTTGTGTGAATGACAGTGGCTCATAAAGCCAGTCATCGATCTGCATTTCTTGTCACATATTTGACATGTCAAATCATCTCCGGGTGGCGGAAGTTGACTTTGAACCTCGTCACTTCCAATGTGTCTTTTTATATGCCTTGTCAAGCCTGACCTGGACTTGCACACTCTAGTGCAGGTCGGGCATTCAAAGCATGCCATTACAAAATTGTCATATGCAATAGATTGTTGGTGTGATTTCTAGTGAATGACCAGACATGCCTTGGACAGACATATCCGATTGCATTGGGGTCATGACAAGGTTGGCACCTCATGGCAATTCAGGGATACATTCCGAACTTCTCTCTTCAGTTCTGCATATTTTTGTGATGCCTCATGGAAGATCTTGACACCATCAGCAATATCATCTCTTCAAGAAGCTATATAGCGAGACTCTTTGAAAACAGAAAATTGAGTCACTGTCGGTCACTGGGCGTGTTTCTAAAAATAAATACGCTAAAAATCCACCTTCATCCCTACCGTATGCCAACGGCTTAGTGGTAGAATCTCCGACTGACACCAATTCAGTCGGGTTTTGATCCTAGCTAGAGGCAAACGGATGTCTAGCCACACTGATGTGCTGTGAAACAGCCAAACAGTCTGTCTGTGGATGACGTTTTATATATATATATATATATATATATATATATATATATATATATATATATATATATATATATATATATATCTTATATATTTAAATATATGAAATATTATTTTTAATTTATTAGATATATCTTACATATATATATATGCAGGGTGTCCCCAGAAAATGAGCATCATTTTGTAGTCTAATAATATAGACAATTTTTGTGCAAATGATCTCAAAATTTAACAAAATGTGTACAAACTAGCTAAGTTGACTGTGTGGACTTACCTCACTGAGAATCTACCTGGAAGATGGATCGGGCATGCCAGTGATAATGACAATG